AGAGAGAGAGAGAGAGAGAGAGAGAGAGAGAGAGAGAGAGAGAGAGAAAGAGAGAGAGCACCTAAGCGGCCCGCACTTGCCCGCAAGGGCGGAGGGCTGGCCGCGGCGGGCCGCCGGCTCGACGCAGGTGCGTAGCGGGCTGGCCTACACAGCGCGCTGCAGGCGCTATGTGCCGCGTGTGCGTTGGCGAAATGCAATTTGCACGGAGAGGGCGCAGTCCCAAACGGAGCCAAATATTCACTAGCACTGAGAAAAATATTTCTTTACGAGCACTAAACGTTCGTCTAATGCTCCCGACTTTTGTCCCAGCTCAAAATGGAATAGTGCCCTCCCTGCTGTGCTCGAAATTTTCTTTGCCTGGGATGCTTCGTTTAGCTTCCGGCGCTTGACGTATAGTGCAACGAAAAAACTTCGATCTGAACACTAAACCTATAGTGCCAAGACATTTTTTTTTCTCAGTGTGTGTTTTTTTAAGGTGGAATTTCAGCGGGATAGATTCCTACCTTTTTCAGAACACAGCCTAATTTGCAGGAGGGTGAGACCTCGTTTCGTATCGCTTCTTCGACTCTTTTTATCACAGTATTGTAATCGATATTTTTCTCTGGTAGACCCAAAATTTTACGGGTGTCGGCATACGGGATCAAATCCTTCGGCACATGCAGATGCAGATTTTGTAGCAATTCTTCGTCTTTACTTGGATCGCTGGTAGGATCTGTAACAACATTTACGAATTTTCTTTGTTTTAAGACACACTCTCAGCCCGTTACTGACACTTTGCAAATACACAATGAACTTGCTTGTACAGCAGTAATACTCACAAAATTGCACGTAATACTCACAAATTTAGTTAGTAATACTAATTACATTGTTAGCAAGTACTTAGCATCATCTTCCTTAGTAATTCCTCACAAAATAATTAGTATTACTAACTAAATTTGTGAGTATTACGTGCAATTTTGTGAGTATTACTGCTGTACAAGCAAGTTCATTGTGTATTTGCAAAGTGTCAGTAACGGGCTGAGAGTGCAGAGTTTTGAATTCTACCATTCCAGGATAACGCGATGCTCGTTCGATCAAACTTACTGTTAGTGTAATAATAAAACCGCCATTCCTCGTTGGTTATTCCGAGCATCTGAGGGACGTGTGGGCTCGGCGGTTGCAGGAAGTAACTCTCAACATCTTGGGTTATGAGGAGAGGTTCCCGGCCTGCCACCCGCCTCTCCGGAGTCGGCCGGTAGGGTAGTTCGGGCTGGGTCTGGAAAAAGGAGCAGTTTTTTTCAGAAATATGACAACGTTTTTCAAAAAGTTGATCGTTTAGCAGCTGTAAAGTTATAGTGTGCACTGGAAACGCAAGTGTGTGAATGTCGCAGTCGCACACTTGTAGGTGAGTGAACGCCCTTTCTTACATTCGCAGGTGAGTGAATGCCTATTAGCACACTTCAAAGACACTGTTAAAAAACAATGGAAATTTTGACGGAATGGGCTGGTAATTTTTTAGCCGGTCTGGGCCGTTTTTTCATATGTCTACGGGAAGATTTCTTTATTTGAAAGAGCTCCCGCGCCCGAAGGTGGCAGACCAGAGCGCAACGAGGACGTCGCCTTTTCACAATGTAGCGGAAGAAAACTTTAGAGGAAATCAGATGTTTGAAGGTGTTATCGTGCTGCCGCGTCAGCAGCCGCTTCAGGACACCCGCAGTCCTTGTTTACCGTCAGCTACCGGCTGCTGGGCTCGGCAGTGTACTCTATGAGACATAGCCAGTGCCTCGCGTACCACGCATACTTCTTCCAACACAACATTACTTGTATACTCTTATTGCTTGCAGTCGGACAAGCACTACCGAGCTATGGGCTGTTGCGTGCGTGTGCATATACCTTCATCTTTTCGTTGATCAGCTGCCAGGTCGCCTTCGTCAGGGGCTCGGTTTCGGCCGCCATCAACACCCTCTCGGCCTCCGACTTGTCCGTCACGCTGTGGCCCGCCACGATGGACGCGAGCTCAAGAGTCATGTCCACGTGGTCTTCCCCGTACGCCCAGTTGTGATAGGCTGAGCCACTCTGCAGAATCGCGCCGCGCATCAAACCTGCAACAGAGTTTCAAAAATAAACAAAAAAATCCATTTGGTTTCAGATTGTTTAAAGTGAGGGAGGGGGGGCTCCCCTCTTCCAAAGAGACATCAATGCGCATCAATGCGACTCTCACTCCTTACCTTTTGTCTCCGGCAGTATAGTCAACCAGCCGGCCAAGCACGACCCGGCCGACTGTCCACCGATCGTCACTAAATTCGGGTCCCCGCCGAAAGCTCCAATGTTTTCGTTGACCCATTGCAAAGCTGCGATGGCATCCTTTATCGCACAGTTTCCTGGCATCTCTTCACTATCCAAGCTAACGAAACCTGTTATGTATGAGAGTGTTTTTGTCAGAATGGAAAATACGAAATACAGAGTGGTCCACAGACCCCTTCCTTTATTTTGCTTATACTGTACCGCATGCACGCGTGCGAGCGGGCTTGCCCACGTCGCTCACTGCGGTGCCTTGTGGCCCCGTACGAGTATGCAACCCGCGCGCACAGCTGCATCCGGTACAGTATAAGCAAAATAAAGGAAGGGGTCTGTGGACCACCCTGTATGTGGAACACCTTTTCCCCCTAATATGGTTGAATGACGATAACCCAACAGTAGAAAAACCACTCACGAAAAAAAAAAAGACTGTATCGCAGTGACCAACCTCTGTTTGATAGGCTTGAGTCGATAGCTGGAATCGAAAATCCGATTATTACTACCAGAAGCTGGTTGCCACGATCAAATACTTGTGGGAAAACAACAAAGCACCCCTTTGTAGCGTCGTACTAGTATTTGATCGTGGCAACGTACACCTGGTTGTAATCATAAGATTTTCGATTGCAGCTATCGACTCTAGTCTATCAAACAGAGGTTGGTCGCTGCGAAGAATCCCTTTTCTTCGTGCTGATGCAGAGGTCGGATGAAATGCCCTACTGTTTGCATGTAAATAGCGTTTATGGTATTCTACTCGTGAAACATTTCCTGGTAATGCTGTATACCGCATGCAGGCGTTCGGGGTTGCCTACCGAACTCTCACCACGGTGCCTTATGGCCCCGTGCGAGTATGCAACCTTTTCGCACGCCTGCATGCGATACAGTATGGCAACAAATAGATCCGGCGTAGAACACTTCACAGGCCCCTGTACCTGAACAGGAGGACATTTTGTCCCACGTTTGCAGTGAGGCTGTTCATCTGTTGGGTTCTCAGCGTAGCAAAGCTTACCGTACGAATTAACTCTGTACTGTATGGTCACGACAACAATATCCTTCTGCTCTATGAAGTTGTCGGGACCAAACTCTTCCCATGAAGCACCCCCGGATTGGAACTTGCCACCATGAATGAAGACATAGACTGGCATTGGCGACTTGTTATCGTTGCCCTGCAGAAATGAAATCAGTTTGAGACGACAGTGGAGTGTGGCATCGTAAATGTCTGCGCGATTCTAGATTATTCCAAGTGTTTATATTTACAACCCAATTGGGTGTTAACACTTGCAAGGAATCAAACTCGCAGCTCGCAGCTAGACACCTAGGTGTTGTTCGACTTCGTATTGAATAGTAGTCGCAATAAGTGCTCGCTAGCTTCACACTTCAGATATCAGTGCAGTCATAGCCGTATATAGCTCTCAAGAGCGCTCCGAGGTCTCTGTCGCTGCCATGTGCTGCCCTGGCCGGCTAATCGAGGTAGGGGACGGACCGCCGGCGTGTTAACCTGTCCCAGGACCAGTTATGATGTTGTTGTAACGACGTTACCAAGTTGCATTTCTCTCCTTTACCTGGTTCGGCAAGGCGGGCGTGTAGACGTTCAGATACAGGCAATCCTCGCTGCCCTCAACAGTTATTCCATCCGGCTGCATCTGGCTGCATTTGGGCATCTGTTGTGTCGCGTCACGAGTCCCACCCCACGATGCGGGAGCCTGCGGCGCCTGCTCACACGAAAAGGGCACTGAGCAAAAGAGGGGAGGGGGGGAGGGGTGAAACAGTCAGCTTAAATTTGGGCTACGCACCTTGTAGCGCAGCTTTCCTACGGGCGGCAGAGCGTACGGAATGCCCAGGAAGGCGACGTAGGGGAGGTGAGAGCCGGTCTCCGACTCCTTCTGCAGGCCGCGGAGCACCCCTTGCTTGACCGTCGCCAACGGCTCGTCTGATCTGTCGCCAAAGAGTTATTGTCAGATCATTCCTCCGCGCCGTATATCCAGCCCCAAACATGTCGAGGCGCGCGACTCACCCGCGTGTGACGAAGTACACGATGACGCCTATGACCGCCCCGAGCACCAGCAACAGCAGGACGCCGCCGAGCAGACAGCACCCTGGAATGAAAGCCTAAGCCTGAGTATCCGGGGCACTTGAGCGGTGCGCCGTATGATTATACCGAGGAGGCAATAACTCCCTTTTGATGTGTACACATGATTCCCGTAATACTTTATTCCCAGTGATTCCCACCCGCCTTTTCCAGGCTATCTAGAAGTAGAAAAGTCGACTGATTTGTATCAGTTCCACTAGTTTCCCGCTTAGTTTAATCGATTTCTGTTGATTTCGATTAAGTTTTATCCTGATGATTCCCAGGCAGGTGTACACATGATTCCCGGAGTTATTGCCCCCTCGGATTTTACCGAGCTTCGATACTGCTAGCTGAGATTCAAATACGAGAACACTTTCGAAATATCATGGCGTCAATTGAATTCGCCGAAAAAAGTACTCTCGAGAGATAATGTTGTGTTGTATTTAGACGCGAGCCGATACCGTTTAGTGCACTCGTCTCACGCACTCGTCGCCTACCTCTTTTTCTCTGCATTCTTGTCTGGTTCCGCTCGTCGACTAAATGTAAACTTTCGCCTTCTTCCACGGAAGGCGGACACGAGCTACTGGCCCATTCTCCTTTCCTCGACACAATATATCCGTTGCAGGAGACCACTCGAAAATCTGCTGATTCTCATAATCGGAGCAATCTCAGTCGCATCATCATGGTGAGTCGCGATAATTGCTGAAACACTCCACCTTCCATTCCCGTCCAAAGTAGCGAACGCACAACGCACGCCGGCTAGCGGGAGTGACGGCTTGAGGTGACGAGTACCCAGGAGGGGG